CTTTTATTGATAATATAGCAACATAAAATCATCTCACATATTACTAGAGGAAGCTCACACTTCACTGTGATTTTGATGTAATTACACCATATTTACATGAACAAATGTAACATATACCTTTTTTCCCTATAAATTAACTTTAAAATCAGTGTAAACGATTTCTCAAAGTCAGAATGTCTTAAACACGTAAACAGCAAATTCAGTATTGAAGGACTTTTGAAGTTTAAAAAAAGGTTGATATTTTAATTCTCAGTTTTTCAGGGGGGAAATGTCTTCTGATTAGCTTCATTTTTAAGTTCAAAATCAAATTATTTACATCATTAGGCAGCCTTTGTCTGCCGATTAGCTGATGGACTAAGCCTAAGCCTTTTCTTACCTAACAGAAACTTGGTAAGTGCTAGCTAGTTAACTGATGTTCTGTTTTTTATTTTTTGCCTTGTTTTTTTTCTCTATCAGTTGAATGGTACAGAGAGAATTTTCACAACTGGAAGAATGCGGAAAAGGCATTAGAACCCTTTCCAGTACAGCCACCATTTATATAGTCAGGACAGTTTTCAAAGAAAGAAGAAAATGATCCTACCTCGACAAGTCATATGCAATCAAGTGACCAAATGAAGTGTCCTCTTCTCATTTGGAATTAGATTCACAACTTTTTATATAAATATAAATGCACAATGCTTCAATCCTTGGAAGAATCTCAGTATTTGCACAGGATTTAAATATCAAATTTCTTTCAGAAGTTCTTTCTTCTGGAAATTAAGAGACAGTAGGCATCGAAGGAATCTCCCTGGGAATGGGTGAGAAGGAGGGTCTTCTGGTTCTGAGAACAAAGGCGGGCAATGGTGCTGGGCACCTTCGCTGGCTTTGAGCTTGGCCGATTTCCCAGTCTTTCTTATTGCTTAGAAAGGCTCTGAAGTTTTCATTTCTAAGCAATAAAGGATGAGCCTTATGCCTTATTTCATCTTTTTTTTTTTCTTAATGTCTGATGTTATGGTACAATTGCTTTTAAAAATTAGAACAAAGTGGAAGCATATCTAACACATTTTAACTTTTGATAATTTTATAAAGTTGTTAAATGGGTCTTAAAGGGTGAAACTTTTTATAGTAACAAAGCCAGTGTCCTAAATGTAACTTTATATCAGAGAAATTTTATCATGTATTTACTGTTTTAAATGATTTTATTTATAAAATTGTCGATATTTTAATGTATTTAATGTAGAATGTGTTATTTTCTAATCATGTTTTCATTTTGCCATAAAAAATTTTAAAAATATTTCTTATGTATTTGTAATCCCTCTTTGCCCTAAAGACCTCAAGGTGACTTGAAAAAAGTAACTGATCATATTTGGGTTGAGGAAGGGAGTGGAAGGGGTGAGGATGACCCTACATTGAGATGCAGCTTTTAGAGCTGGCTCGGTGGCATGGTGACTACATGCTGTCAGGAGGTGCTGGATCCACATGGAAGATCTCTGGTTTGATTCCCTCATCAACCTGTACATGCCAGAGAGAGGTGCCTATGATCCTGGCTGACCGGGAAGCTGTGGGGATCACGGTGCAGACTCTGTTAAGGGTGCTTGTCTTTGTTCTGATCTCTCTCACTCTCGTGAAAGAAATAAACATTTTTTAATTCAGATTTTAGCATGGAAATTTCTTTACCCTCATTAAAAAGTCTTGATAGACTTTTTAAATATACTTAATACCAACCTCCTACTATGCCTAGCAGTCCCCTAGTCCAGGTCCCCAACACCCTGGGCCATGCACCAGTTCCAGAGGTACAACCATGTGTCTGTGAGAGTGGCACTAAATGTAATGCACTTGAATCATCCCCGGACCATCACTCCGTTCTACTCCTGGTCTATGGAAAAATTGTCTTCCATGAAACCAGGCCCTGGTGCCAAAGAGGGTGGGGACTGCTACCCTAGTCCATACTTGTTGTCTTTGATTTCTCCTGTCTGGAGGGAAAGAAGGAGGGCAAATTTGGCAGAGGCAGGGGTCAAACTGGGCAGGATAATTGTACCAGCTAAAGCTCTGCAGGCAGAAAGGGAAACCCATATGAAGATTGGCTATTAAAGGAATCAACTACTGGCACTTGGAGGATGGAAGGGACCCAGTGGAATCCCCTACCAAGTAACAGGCTGGTTTCCTCAAGGGATATGCCATACAGGGATTCAGCATTTGTCCCAGCAGGTTGGATGTTCACAGTGGGCCCTAGCTAGACTGGCCATGGTGAGACTCCATGCCCTGGACATCACGTATAGGTTCCATCTCTGGCTTGGCTGATGCTGAAGGCAGGCTGAAGTTAACTGGCTGGGTCACTTTGCTGCATGCTCAGTTCCCCTCCCTTAGTGGTTACTTTCTAGTGGATGTTATGTCATACAAGGTCTTCACACTCCTCACCCTCTCCCATATGCCCATCCTCACACCTTCCACTCTTGACTTCCCTGTCTCTGCTGCTCTAGTCTTTTTTCCTCCCAAGTTTCCAAGTGGCTAGGCAGACCATTTACCACTGTGACCTAATAGTCTCATTGCCAGTCACTTCTGTACATGGTGCATGCCCAGGTACACTGCTCGAAGCTGTTCTTTGGAAGAGTATCGACTTTTCTTCATTCTTTTGAAGGCCATCTCTGCATGGCTTTTATGCAGCCACCATTCTTTCTTTACTCGAAACTTTATAATAAGCCAGCCCATTTATAAACTAAGATGGGCTCTTTGCTGCCCTTTCTGTTGCTTGTACAGACTTGTATGGCCACAGGTAAGAGCTGAGAAGGGACCTGGTATAGCTAAGGTAGTGACATGGGAGTCTGGCCTACCCGTCCTTGCAACTTACTTGTGCCCTCTGATTCTGTGGGCTTTGTGAGTGGAGCTGGTAATTGCATGTAGCCATTCTCCAACTATCAGCCAGGACTGCCATAACAAAATACCACTGACAGGGTGGCTTCAACCACAGAAACGTATTTTCTCACAGTTCTAAAGGCTGGCAATCCAGGAGCAAGGTGGTGGCAGGGTTACCTTCTGAAGTCTCTCTCCTTGGCTTGTGGATGGCTGTTTTCTCCTTGTGTCTTCACATGACTCACTCTTTGCACACACATGTCTGAGTCTTAAACTCCCTCTTCTCTTAAGGACACTGGTCACATTGGATTAGGGCTCATCCTAAAGACATCATTTTAACTTGCTTTTTTAAAAATCTTATTTCCAAATACAGTCACACTCAGAGGTACCAGAGGTAAGAATTTGGGGAGACCATAGCTCAACCCTTAACAGTGGGTCCAGGTGAATTCACATATGAGCATTTCTGGATGCATGGTCACTTGGTGTCCTATGGTCAAGCATTGTGTCTCTACCAGGGCCTGGAAACCCACCAGGAGCTGTGTTCCAATGGCATAGAATTCTTCACTGCAATCAGAATGGCCTTTTCCAGAATACCAGGACCTGCAGGGTGGTGCTCCCACGGTGACTTACCATAAGATCCATACTGGGTCTCTTTCTACCATTGGTACCACCAAGACCATAGAGTATACCTGGTCATACAGCCCAAATAGCAGCCCAGCTTGGACCTGCTACAGAGCTCTTTCCTGAAAAGCTCCAGACCTGCCTCAGAGCAGGCTGCCTTTACATCACTTAGTCTGTGGGCCAGGGCCATATCCCTCAGTGTGGCATGTGTTGTTTCCAGAACTCAAGTCTACCAGGCACTGAGCTTCCTCGTGGAACAGGATGTAAGGTACAGTGACTGGACTTGGACTTTGAAGGGCATGTCCTGGCACACCATCACCACTGGACTCTTAATGACTTTACCGAATGGCAAGCCCCTGATACTTCATCAGGTTTCTCTCCCACCTTCTGGGGCAAATGTGAATTAGCAAAGCCTCCAGTGTGCTAAACACTGCTTGCTAATCCTGCCTGGTCAGCATGATACCATTGATGTGACAGAGCAAAGTGACATTCTTTAGGCTGTTCAGACCACCCAAGTCACTTAGGACCAATTCTCATAGCCCTCAGGTGAAGTCACAAGTGCACCTGGTCTCTGATCTGTCATGATTGAGACAGAAAAGAACACCTTCACCAAATCCATGGCAGGATACCATGTTCCAAGGCCCTTATGTGCTCTAGCGAAGAAGATGCCACATGGTCACAGCAGTTGCCATCAGAACAACCACTGGATGGAGCTGGCAGCACCCCCAGTCATTCTCCAGGATCTGTTCAGTTTCAGCAGGGGCCAGATGGGAGATCTAAATTGAGACATGCTGGGGGCTCCCCTCTGCATCTTGGCCATCCTCAAGGTGACATCATCTTCACCATTTCCTCCAGGATGTGATTTTGGCTTTTATTTACTTTCTCACCTAGGGGAAGGGACTCCGCTGAGGTAGGTCCATTAAGCCAAAGTCAGGGCATTCGTTAGGAAAACCTGGGGCCCTGGCACATGGATAGGAATATCTGGGTAGATACTCTTAAAGATTTTGACTCAAGTTTTTTAACTGTGAAGTCCTGAGTTTGGTCTTAGATTTTTTTCCTGTTCCTCCCCTTAGTGACAAAGGTGTCACACTTAGTTCTTACTTGTTTATTAATTGCCCACAGCTTTTCACTACCCCTCTGCAGCCCTATAGAGTCCATATAACTTAGTAAAGACCAATCAGTTCCGCTGCCCTAGTGTGACTTGTTTCCCTGAAAATTTCAAGTGTCTCAATTATTACATCAGCCAAGGCAGAGCAGTCCCTTTCACAAGAATACTCTCTTGAGTTCCCATCCATGAATTTTTTTATAGAATTATTTATTTGATTTTATTTGTCATTATTATGATAGTATCATTATTATTTTAATTTGCTACAGGGCACAAGCTCACCAGAGAGTGCCAGAGAGAGGGAGAGAGAGAGGAAGAAAGGGGAGGTGAGAAAGCAAGCTGTCAGGTCCAGGACTCCAGCCATCTGGAAGTCCAACGCCTTAACCACCATACCACCTGCTGGCTCCCAAGAAAGTTTTTAACAGTGGGTTCACCACCTTTTGCCAAGGACTGTTTTGTGCCCCATGCCCCACCCAGGATGGTATTCTCAAGACAAGACAAACAGGAAGTGATCTGACCCCAAACTCATCTTTCCGGCTGTTTCATGGGACCAGTCTTGGAGCCAACTGTATCAGGTATTCTGGGAAGTGGCAACAGAGTTAGGTGTGTAAGCAGTTTATTGGGGGATAAAGGATAATGCTGTGAAAGATATGAAAGAGGAGAATGCGTAATTGGGCAAGAGAAATCTTCTGGCTTGCAATGCAGATGAAACAGCTATGAAAAGAAAGGAGAGGGAAATCTCTTTCCCTGGCAGAGACTCACTGTGGTGCAGAGCAGATCTCACAAAACCTCAGTCAATTCAGGAGGGAGCTCCGGAGCAAAGATCACTTGAAGTGATCTGGGCAGAAGTGGCTGGGTTCCTTAAGCTCAGTGACTGGGAGCTACTCAGAAACAACCAAGGAGGATCCTGAAAGCATTGCAAACAGACGCTGCCAGCGCTAACTGCACTCTTGGCAGCTGAATGGCTAGCTCTTTTTGGAAGAGAAATCCAAGTGGTAGACCTTCATAATGGCCCCCTGGCTGTTTGCAGTGCAGGGAGGGAGTCTGGAGATTCAGTTGCTCTCGACAGACTTTCAGCCAAACCATTTGCTTTTAGTCCAGTACCTTGTCCTCCCTTGTCTCTTCTCCTCCCACCCTCCGTTACCTCCTGTGCTGCGGGATCCTCTCAGGGATTCTGCGATGCCAAGTAGCCCAGCCTGAAGGTTCTGAGAAGAATTTCTGGAGATGACACTTAAGCTGTGTTAAAGGATTTATGGGAATTAATAGAAGAAGCTGAAAACAATTCCAGGCAGAGGGACTAGCAAAGTGAAAGCACTAAGTTATGAATAATGTGTGTTCAGGCAACAACAGGTTATCGATATTACCCTAGCACAGTCATTCTCACATGCGCCCCCAGTTCATTAGGAGAATGCAAATCAAAGCTATGATGAGACATCACTTCATATCCATTACGTGACTATTATTTCAAAACAAAACAAAACAAAACAAGAACAGAAAATGAAAGTTGATAAGGATGTGCAGAAATTGTAACCCTGGTACCTTGCTGGTGATATAGCCACTCTGTCGCTTCATTGAAAAGCAAAACAGAGGATAACAGTATGATCCAGAATTCCACTTCTAGGAATATACTCGGGAGAACTTAAAGCAGGAACTC